CTTATCTGGCTGCAAAATCAGTGCTGTTCCATTTGGGAAGCGAAAGGGCAGATTATTATAGGTGAGAGGAGCTTGGGAGGTTGGGAAAGTGCTGATCTGGTTTTGTTTCTATTCTAAATAGAACAGCAATGTGAGCACAATCAGATAGTCAGCTTCTCGACCTCGTTTTCCTGAGAAAAGTGAAGGAAATTGAGCCACGTGATCCTTGACTTTGTGCTGCTGATTCTGGACATGCTGAGAGTTGAAATAATTGCAATCAGCAATCTGTTCATTAAAGTAATCTTACTCATATCATTATATGTATCGTGCTAGTAATAGATTCAATGTATATGCCTTCTCTGTGAAAAGCCCTGGGCCAGGTGCTGGGGGAGTGAGGGGAGGTGGGGAAGAGAAAAGTAAATAAGAGGGAGCTTAGTCTTCAAGGACCTTACAATATAGTGAGGGAAAGAAGGCACATCTGTTAATCAGAAAGATGTAGGAGGAGTGTAGATAAGCAAGTGCTATAAAGAATCAAAAAGCTTCCTGAAGGGAGCTTCATTATAGCCGGACATAAAAAAGTAGGGAAGGACTCAAAAATATAGAAATAAAGGCAAGTGGGAATTCAAGACGGAAGGGGGTTCATCCTCTTTCCCCCGCCTGGCTCTCCATTTCTATCAGTGATTTTTCTCAAATACCTGAGCTCAAATTTTAGAACTATCTTAATCCTCCCTTTTCTGCACAAGGGCCAGCCAGTCTGAGAGGGCGACCCAGTCCCTCAACAAGGCCCATTTCCCACTGTGTTTCCCTCTGTCTGGGGTGCAGGTGACCCCTCCCACCTTTCCCTCAGATTTCAGTGAATATATCCTTTGATTAAGAAGAACTCCAGTGACCACACTGAATAAAGCAAACCCATGTGCCTTTCCCCATTTCATCCATTCCCCCTTACTTAGCTCTTTTCTTTTTCATAGACCATATCACCTCAGGGTATGTTAGATTTGTGTAGTTAGTGACTGACTTTTAACACAAGGATGTAACCTCTGAGATGGTAGAGTACTGTTCCTTGCAGTATTGCCAACTCCTAAAATGGGAACTAGCGCAGAGTAGGTATTCAGTAGTGTTTGATGAATGAATGAATGATTGCATAAACCTACATCTAATCCATACCTTACCATACATACATTCTGAGCAGGTAACTACCCTACTTCTCCCTGGACACATTTTTCAGTCAGCCCTGCTGTCCTACTGGCCACCAATTTGCTCTTAAATATATCTGTTTTCTTTTCAGAATCAGCATCCGGGCTTTTACACAGTTGTTTGATGAAGACCTGAAGGAATTTAAAAATCCACTTTATTCAGATACTTTCTTCTCTTTGCCCATCACCACTGAGTCAGGTAAGGTAAACCTTCTCATCCACCACATATTCTGGTGACTGACATGTCACCCATTGGGGTTGCTAGTGGGAGACCAAATGATGTGACTGGAGGTGGGAGAACACTTTGTTCACTTGGAATTAAATCTTTATATGATCATTGATTGATATGAATGCATGACTGGGAAGAATAGGGATTAGTCTCCCAAAGAAGGTAGCATTATCAAATCCTATAGTAAAAATTAACTTATTTAAAATAGTGAGAGTGCAAAACATTCAAATCAAGAGATTACTAGGCCAAAGTATAAGTAAGTACAAAAGTTTTAGGTCATAAGTGGAAATATATGTGTGCAGATACATAGAAAAAATTTTCCCTTTTGCTTGTTACATGTTGCTCTTACACTATAAAATGTTAATGTGGGCCCTCCCTGGTGGCGCAGTGGGTTAAAGCACAGCACTGAGAAGCGAAAGCCACTCCCGCATGAGTTCGATTTCCGCCTGCCCCGGAGGTGACCACATGGCGTGGCAGACCTCTCCTGACCCTCCCGCTGCTCCTCTCAGCAGTGTACTTCGTAGATCTGCCTGTTCTGCTCCCCGCTCTGTCTCTGGTGAATCCTCTCACCCTTCGCATCTCTGGCCTGTAACCCAGTTCTGTATGCACAAATAAATAAATCTTTAAAAAAAGAAAAGTTCATGTGGAAGGCTGTAGAAATTTATGAAACTTCTCTAATGTATTAGAAAAACTGGCTGATGAAGGAGTACAGTTTTAAATGCTGTCCTTAGAATAATTTTTCCAATCCTCACTATACCCTTTTAAGATACATACTGTCATTACCCCCATTTTAAAAGTTACAACCTGAGGTACCAAGTGTTTAAGCAACCTGCACAAGACAGTGAAGTTTGAATGTTGGTAATTTCTGCCTGAACTTCACTGACTCAGAATCTTCACATCATACTACGAAAAACATTATTTCTTCGGACATATTGTCTTATTACCATTGTCTGTTCCAACCTTTCTTAGTAACCAGTTTTCTGCAATACTAATCTCTGGAAGTTCTTTATACCTAACTGCAGTGTTTCATGCTGCATGAAAAACAATAACTCAGGTTCACAAGCACTCCCATTTTATTTATGCCAAATGTCAGTCTAATCTCCCACTTACCAAACCAAAAAGAGATCAGAACACAATTAGGAAGACTTAGATGTATGCTTATAATTTAATATCAAGCAGGGATTTTGTGAAAACAAGTCTTTCCTATTTAATGGGCCACCCTGGTGGCACCAGAGTTAAAGTCTCAGCACCATGAAGCTATCACTAGCTACTGTAGCCTGAATTCGATCCCTGACCAGGGAGCTGACCCACATGGCACAGCAGACCTCTCCTGTCTCCCCTCTTCTCCCCTCAGCAATGTCATTTCTGCCTCTGTCTTTGGTGCATCCCCTCACCTCCCTTCCCCCCACATCTCTCGCCTGTACCCCAGGTCTAGTATGCATAAATAAACCTTTAAAAACAATTCTTTCCTATTTGAAATAGTATATTTTAAAAATTAAGTTTACCCAAGAGAAATGAAAACATATCTCCTCATAGATACTTGTGCACAAATGTTGATAGCATTGTTCATAATAACCAAAAAAAATAGTGTTAATCCAAATGTCTATCAATGGATGAATATATAAACAAAATGTGATATATCCACAAAATGGAATATCATTCACCCGTGAAAAAGAATAAACCACTGATGCATGTTATAGCATAGATGAACCTTGAAAACATTATGCTAAGTGAAAGAAACAAGTCACAAAAGATCACATAGTGATCAATTTATGGGAAACATCCAAAGTAAGGAAATTGATGGCACAGAAAGTAGATTAGTGGTTGCTAGGGTCTAGGGTGAGGAAGAATGGAGAATGATTGCTATAAAGTAGGGTGCTTCCTTGGGAGGGATGAAAAATGAATGTGGTCATATTTTCAAAACTCTATACTTAAATCATTGAATTGTACAGTATGTGAATTCGGTTTCAATACAGCTGCTTTTAAAATGGACTTAACTTACTTATAAATTCCCAATAGCAAAACCATTCTAGATAATAAAAGAGGTTTTGTTATGATAATTCTCAGCAATAGGCTCTATTTGTTAAAGTCCCAAATGCTTGTGACTGGCTTCATACAGATGGAAAAGCATTTTTTTAAAAAGATTTTTGTTTATGCATACAGAACTGGGGTACTGGACAGAGGTGCAGGGGCAGTGAGAGGATTCACCATAGCCAGAGTGGGGAGCAGAACAGGCAGATCGATGAAGTACACTGCTGAGGGGAGTAGCAGGTGGGTCAGGAGAGGTCTGCCACGCCATGTGGTCACCTCTGGGGCAGGTGGGGATCAAACTCATGCTGAAGTGGCTTTAGCTCCTTAGTGCTGTGCTTTAACTCCTTGTGCCACCAGGGAGGGCCCCTGAAAAAGCATTTTTATATTAGTGACATTTTTATATTAGTGTTAACCTTTACCTCAAGAGTCCCAAGCTTTACATAGAAGCACAAAGGCCACAATTTCTCAGCAAAGTGAACAACATTATCTTCAAAAGTATAATGGCTGAGCGGCCATTACAGGAAAACAGATAGCAGGTTATCTTCTCGGCTGCACATTTCTAGCCTCTGTGTGAACAGCCTTAGGATTCTTCTGGAATGATGTCTGGGGAGACAGGATTCAGCAGCTCTCTTACTGGTTCATTAACACTAATTTCCCCCTCCCGGATTTGTTGTTTCTGTCTGGGTTCCTGTAGAGCCTTTGTTTGGCGTTATCGAAGGTGTGAGTGCGGGACTGTTCTTAATTGGCATGCTCGTAGCCGTCGTTGCCTTATTCATCTGCAGACAGAAAGCCAGGTGAGTGCAAACCTCCCCCCAGTGATCGGACCACAACTTTAAAGATGCAACTGAAAATAGTCTGAAAAGAGAGAAGGAAAAATAAAAAATGTCTCCAGAACCGTCATTTGTTTCTCAGGGGAAAAAAAAAGTCAACCCCTAAAATCATGACTCATTTTTTCAGCCTTTCTAGGTAGCATTGCTGAATTCTGCCCTTATCTAATGATTGAGGGACCAGCTACAGCTTTCTTTAAATATGAAGTAACTCTATATGCACAGGAGGAAAAAGAAACCATGTTTTTCCGTGGTTCCATACCTCAAGGAGACAGAGATGTCTGCAAATATTGTGCCCGCTGGTTTTCTGAAACATGCTAAAAGTGTGCTTGACATACCATTCGGTAACTAGTCTCCGCCATACTAATTTTAAGAAGAGACCAGAAAGAACCAAAAAGGATGAGGCCCCAGGACTCTGGCCTCTTCTCTTCGAGAACTTCTTCCACTTGGCACATCGTCTTCTCTTGCAGTCATGTCTTGCATCCTAGGTTTTACTGTTGTTTTTCTCCCTAAGGGAAGTTTTATTGAGAGTGTGGGAAGTGATTACGACCTGTAGCCAAAAACCAGAAGACAAATCTCAGCTATTACAGAGATCCGTTTCTGAGTGGGAAAAATCTATTTCTTCTTTATGTTCTTCCCCTCCTTCAAAGAGATGTTGGCTGAGTGTAAATCTGCTTGAGTACTGAGAAACCCATATTTGCACAAACATGCATAGCCTTACCATAAATGGGGAAATTGTTTTAAGTTTCATGATCAGAATATAAATGCTCTCCATTATGTGTTAGCCATGGTCGAGAAAGACCTTCTGCCCACCTGAGTATCCGTCGGGATCGACCATTATCTGTCCACTTGAACCTGGGCCAGAAAGGGTGAGCACCCCATTTTTCTTCACATAATTTATTGAAAGATGAGTTGATTGTGCTGTGAGAGAATTGCTAATGTGGTTTTTCGTTTCCTTTTGGGTTCCTCACAGTAGCCGGAAAACTTCTTGGTAAGCAAAGAACTCATTAATTACTACATTATCTGCTTTTGAAATACAGCTCAGCCTGATTCTGGCATTTTCCCTTTCTTCACTAATTTTTTTCCTTTCTGTTTTTAACTATAGCCCAATAAAAGTAAATCAGTTTGAAGGGCACTTCATGAAGCTGCAGGCCGACTCCAACTACCTTCTCTCCAAGGAATACGAGGTACACCTCAAATGCAATGACACTTTAGCACCCCAAATCTTAGCAGAATTTCCCTCCCCACCCTCCCTGCTGATTGATTCATAGGCTGATTAGAAGCCCAGAGGAGCTCACTTAGGAACCAACTGTTCCCTGCAAGCTATACCCACCACCAGCCTTAGTTTTGCCAGCTGTGTGACGCGGGGCAAGTTAGTTTTCCTGTTAGTTCATCTGGAGAATGCAAACGAGCATACTTTCCATGGGGCCCACTGGGGTCCAGACTCTGTTCATCAAATTTGGTGTTCCCTAAACAGCAGCGAATGTGCATATGCTCATATTATTACGCATCTCAAAGGCTTCATGATTTGTCTTATGTTTTCCTATTCTTTACTTGTAAACTTTTTTTTATCCAACAGGACTTGAAAGACGTGGGTCGAAACCAATCATGTGACATTGCGCTCTTGCCGGAGAACAGAGGGAAAAATCGATACAACAATATATTGCCCTGTGAGTTTTATGTTGGAATTTGTAAAACTGTCTTCCTCTAGCCACTTCTTCTCTTTTCCAGGAATAAAATGGGGCTAGTAAAACCTAGGGTCAGCTACAACTGGAACATAGAGGCTCTGAATGCCTTTCAAAAGGCGTGAGTTGTGTGTTACTGCGCTTGCCTCCAGAAGGGTAACCCAGCCTACATTCTGATCCTATGAGGCCTCTTCTGCTGGTGACAGTTCACCTTTTGCTCTTATTACTTCATCTCGGAAGCCTATAGGTAGCCTACCTGGGTTTACTTAGCAAAGTCTCGGGTTAGCAATTCCCATATGTGTGTGTGTGTGTGTGTGTGTATAAATATGTCTAACACTGTTAGGTAGAGTAACAGAAGACCATTTTTCTGGATTGTTTTCATCCCAGCAGTAAAATGGGGATGGCCACTCCATCAGACAGTGTGATGGTATTACAAAGGAAAACTCAGAGAGAACTTCAAAGAGCTTTTTTATTTGTGTGTTTGTGGACCACTTGCACAGTGAACAAAGCTGTTCTCCGGACTTTATCTGTAAAAGGAAGATGAGAATACTTCCTTCATAGGGTAGTTGTGGGGATCAGAGATAATGCATGGCAAGTAACATGATTTTAATAAAGTAGAGACGCACCCTAAGTCTTAGTGACAAATCTCTCGGTAAATTGCCTTCCATATGAAAAAATGTTCATGGTCACTTATCAGGGAAGTGCAAATAAAACCACAATGAGACATTATCTAACACCTGTGAGAATGGCCCATGTCAAAAAGAAACAACAAGTGTTATCAAGGATTTGAAGCAAATGGTTCTTGCCCCTATAGAAATCAATATAGACTTCTCAAGATAATTAAAATAGGTCTATCATATGATTCAGCAATTCCACTCCCAGGTATCTACTCAAAAACTGCAAAAATAAAATTAATTCAAAGGGATATATGCTTTTCCATGTTCATTGCAGCACTGTTTAGGAAAGTGAAGTTACGGAAGCAATCTAAATGCCCAATGACAAAGAATGGATTAGAAAAATCTGGTATACACAATAGAATGCTACTCAACTATAAAATGAAAAGATAAACTCTTTCCATTTGTAACAACATGGATGGACCTGTAGGGAATTGTGATAGGCAAATAAGAAGAAAGACAAATGCCAGATGGTGTCGCTTATATGATTGATATGTGGAATATAGAGCAACAAAACAAAGAGTTGGGTAAAATCAAAGAAAAACAAAGCTTAGAAATCCGATCACCGAACTGAGGCTTCCAGGGTGGAGCGGGGGCTGGGGAGAGAAAAGTAGAAGGAAGCACAGTGGACTCTGGTGGAGGACTGTGGGTGCCTTCCTGGTAGATGTGGTGTGGCTACATACATCTAAGGAGGTGTGCCTGTGCCTGTAAATCATAGACAGTGTAAAGCAGTGTTACCTCGATTAAAAACTTTTTCGAAATATTTTTAATAATATTTTAAAAAAATAAACTGCCTTCCAGATGATGCCTCTCGAGTGAAGCTGTCCAATGTAGACGATGACCCGTGCTCCGACTACATTAATGCCAGCTACATTCCGGTAAGTGGCCCACTACGCCCTCATACCCTGGGTGGCTGGCCACACTGGAGACACCTCTCCACCTACATGTTCCCCACGCTTCTCAGGTCTGAAGGGTGAGAAGACTGTCAGAGTCTGTGCTGTGTACAGGGATAAGGTTGGGTGTAATCTTGATCCTGCAGAAAAGCTCAGCAGAACTGGGATAGCAGGACATAGCCAGACAATGACATAAAAAAGAAGCTAGTGTGGTGCTTCCTCAATACACAGCTGCATGGCTGGGGGGGGGGGGTGTTGGTAAAAAGCAGGCTCTGATTCAACAAAGTTGGGAGGACCCGGGACTCTGCATTTCCAGCAAGTTCCCACGTGCCCACCAGGCTGCTGGTTGAAGGACCACTCTTTGAGTAACAAGGGACTAGAAGTTAATGCAGGAGCTGCTGAGGGGAGAATATCTCCCAGCAGAGAGATAGCCAACGAAGTTCAGCCTATCAGGCAACATGCCAAGACTCTTAAGGATGAGTAAGCATTAGCCAGCTGAGAGGCTGTGTTTGGGTGGGTGGGTATGGAAGTGGCAGAGGTGACAATGTAGAGGCCTTGAAGTGAGACAAGAAGAAAAAGGATTTCGAATAGGCATGGCAAGTATTTGGTGTTGTTGGAGAGCAGAACAAATGAAGTATTGTAGCTCAGAGAAATGTGGTTCCCAGATTAAATAAGATCTATGAAAATCCTGACCCTTGGCAAGCTATAGGGTAGATACTCAAAAATAGCCTTCCCTTAAGCTTCCCTCCATGCCATACCTCCCCAGTGTTAACCTAATGTCAGTGGTCCAAAATAGCTGACACTCTTGTACATTAACTAGGGAGTCTCGTTTTCGAAGTCAGCCCCTCAGCCTACACACACACGCACACACACACACACAAAATGAAGTGCTTTCTAAATCATGGCTTGCATCCTCCACTGCCTTTTAGTTAAGATCCAGTCTAATAAAAGGGAGTTTGGCGCCTAACAATGGTGCGATGTTCCGGCCTTTGTCCTTTCTGCGCCCAGGCCTTGACACTACGTTAATATCTTTTTCTCAGTCAGGGACCTGGCAAAAACCTACATCTCATCTCATCTACACAGCTAGAGCTTTGTTTATAATTCTGAAGAGGCCCATTGTTTCTGACTCTCCATATTGTAAATTCATTGCAGGGCAACAACTTCAGAAGAGAATACATCGCTACTCAAGGACCACTTCCTGGCACCAAGGATGACTTCTGGAAAATGGCGTGGGAACAGAATGTTCACAACATCGTCATGGTGACCCAGTGTGTTGAGAAGGGCCGAGTGAGTAAACAGTCTCTGGCTTCCCAAATTTGCTTCCCGCCACCTGCATGGAATTCCACCCTGCTGTCCAAAGTTAGACCCCAGAAAAGCCAAAGTGCGGTGGCGAGAGAACATTATTAGTGAATCAGATCACTCAGTAAATCCAAGTAATTCTCAGTTTCGCCCCCATGTGGCGCTACCGACCCTGAGAGCATTTGCACAAAACAGGTGGTCGGGATGGTCAGCTGCTCAGGGTCTGAGGTTTTAGTCAAATATGAATTTAAGGGCTGGGGTTATCAGAAGTACCCCTGACAGAGGAGTGGACCCTTGCTTCTCGTGTGTGTGGAGGCAGCAGGACCTCACAAGAGTCGAGAGTCGCTAGTTCTCCCTCTGCTGTCAGGAAAGAAGTACATCTTAGGCTGTGTCTGCAGAGCCAAAATAGTTTGTGGACAAATTAAACAAATCATTGTTTTAACAATGTTTGTAATCCTCTACAGTATTACTTTTGGGACTAAAAGAGAGATTACATGTCATGTGCCAATGTCTGTGCTCAGTAAATACATAGTCACAGGCCTCCTCCTTTCTTTCTATCCATGGAGGATTGACTAAATAACTTCATTTATAGCCTCTGTCCAGGTTAGGACAGCAAAATCAGATTAGAGACAGAATAGTACCAAGACAATGCCTTCTTTTGTCCAGTTAGATATTTCTTCGGAATGAAAAAGAATTTGTGAATGCGGTTTATCTACTAATGGAAGGGAAATGTTGACGGAATCAACAAAAACAGGTGAAGGAAGGCCCTCCCTGGTGGCACAGCGGGTTGAAGCGCAGCACTGAGAAGCTAAAGCCACTTCCACATGAGTTCGATTCCCGCCTGCCCTGGAGGTGACCACATGGCGTGGCAGACCTCTCCTGACCCGCCCGCTGCTCCCCTCAGCAGTGTACTTCGTCGATCTGCCTGTTCTGCTCCCCACTCTGTCTCTGGTGAATCCTCTCGCCACCCCTGAGCCTCTGGCCTGTACCCCAGTTCTGTATGAATAAATAAATAAATCTTTAAAAAAAAAAAAAAAAAAAAAAAAACAGGTGAAGGAATCCCGTCTGGGGTGTTGCTCAGTGTCGCCCTCTTGTGGCGCAGTAGCGCCTCAGCACTGGCCCTGAAAGCGTTTGCACAAAGCAGGTGGTCTCAGGGTCAGTTGCGACGGCTGCGGACTCAGGAGACATTTGAAAGAGGGAAAGTCCAGGTTCATAGATGAGTCGTGTTCTCTGGGCTCACTTTTTTTAGAAAACATTTTTAAATTTTTTTAAAGAGTATATACTTTTTTAAGATTATTTATGCATACAGAACTGGGGTACAGGCCAGAGGTGCAGGGGCAGTGAGAGGATTCAACAGAGACAGAGTGGGGAGCAGAACAGGCCAACTGACGAAGCACACTGCTGAGGGGAGCAGCGGGCGGGTCAGGAGAGGTCTGCCGCGCCATGTGGGTCACCTCTGGGCCAGGGATTGAACTCACACAGAAGTGGCTGCGGGGAGCTTACAGTGCTGCATACGTACTAACCCATTACGCCACCAGGGAGGACCTAGAAAATATTTTAAAAGAGCATGTTTTGGGGGGAAAGGAAAGAAGAGAGAAGCACCTGCAAAGTCACAGGCGGGCCGGAACCGCTGCCTGGACTCATTCTTTTCTCTGTCGCCCTCTAGGTCAAGTGTGACAACTACTGGCCAGGGGACCAGGATTCCCTCTATTACGGGGACCTCATCCTGCAGATGCTTTCAGAGTCTGTGCTGCCTGAGTGGACCATCCGGGAGTTCAGGATATGCAGTGTATGTTCGTTTCTGTGACTTCATGGAACAACCCAGCCAGGGATGATGAAGGACACTCGTGTCCTCCGTATTTATTAGTCCTGTGTCTGGAGTGTGGACCCACAGCTATTCCTCCCTGGGCGCAGCGTCAAAGGTGAAGGTTCACCTCTCCTCTCTTACAGGAGGAGCAGCTGGATGCCCACAGGCTCATCCGCCACTTTCACTATACAGTGTGGCCAGACCACGGCGTCCCAGAGACCACGCAGTCCCTGATCCAGTTTGTGAGGACCGTCAGGGACTACATCAACAGAAGCCCCGGGGCTGGGCCCACCGTCGTGCACTGCAGGTATCACTATGAGAGCCAGTAAAATGGCAGCCAAGAGTTTCCAAAAGAGGCGTAAGCATGAGAATCTGGTGGGTGGAGGGTTTGTCTGTGCCTACACGATGCCTGGCCTGAAGGACGCTCTTACACGCTTCTCCCTGGGCCTCCACAACCTCGCTCCTTTCACTGACTTCTCTACTTTGTTCACCTCCATCCTCTCTCTGCCTCTTGCTCTTTTTCTTACTGTACAAAGCACAAATTCTTTATGTGATGTTCAGTTCCTCCATTATTGTGGCCCTGTCTCACCCCCAATCCAGGTTTCTATAAACTCCTCTCCCCACTTGAGCCACTTAAGAGAGGCACAAGCTGACGCTTGCTCATGCCATTATCCTTACTCCTAGAAACGGCTTAGTCTCTGTTCACCTAAAAACACCCCAACAGTCCTTTATGTCCCCTGCTCCAGAACTTCTCCAGGTCAAGTAGCACTGGCTATCTGTAGCACCTGATGCTGCACTTAAATTTCTGTTCTCTCTAACTTCTCTTTGTTTCAGAGAGTGTGTTCATAAAATCCACCTAACAAGCACATGCTCTCACTCTCTCTCTCTGTGGGGATCCTGATCTTTAGCTAATTAATGCTTGCAGCCACACTTTGATAGCCCTATCTGAATGGCACTAATAAATAATGAGCAGGGAATTGCTAGAGTAAGAGAAATGTCAAATGCATTCATTTTCTCCCAATCAGCCCAGCACCATAGGAGCTCTGCTTTTATATGTCCTTGGAACCCTGATGATTTTAATAAGAATGTGAGATGCTCCAGAGTTTCCTACTTTCTGAAGGATGGCAGGCATGCTCCCTTAGAAGCACTGGAGAGCTGTTCTTTTTCTAAGAAATATTGTAGCTCCAAATTCCCAGGTTATACAGCCATTGGGGAGCATTTGGCCACCCCTAGTGAAGATGAAGTTGTTCAGTCCCTATGATCTAGCAGATCTGCTGCTAGAGATCAGTCTGATTGCACAGTGTTGCTCACTGCAACACAGCTCATAACAGAGGACACTAAAGATGACGCCACTGTTTATCAGTAAGGAATATACACATGGTGGATGGATTACCAGGGTGGATTAACTCCATGAAGGTGTTAGTTAGATCTACATGTAACACCATAGATGAAACTCCAAACACTATATTTCATAGAAAAGTTGGCAAAAATATTCAGCATTTTGAAACACATAAAATGAATATGCTGTTTATGGATTTCCAGGTAGGTAGGAAAAAGATAAGCACATGCCTGGAGGTGTCATGCATCAAAAGTAAAGCAGTTCTGACCACTGGTTGGGAAGGGGGAAGGGAGGAAAAAGAGATGGAAGGTTAGAGCACTGGGTTACATTTCTTTAAGAAAAAGCATTGATGGTCCTTCCTGGTAGTGAACGGGTTAAAGCACAGCACTGCAAAGCTAGCCACAGCTGCTTCAGTTCAAGTTCAATCCCTAGCCAGGGAGGTGACCCACATGGTGCAGCAGATATCTCCTGTCCTGCTCCCCACTCTGTCTCTGGTGAATCCTCTCACCACCCCCTCTTCCCCTGGTCTGTACCCCAATTCTGTATAAATAAACAAATCTTTAAAAAAAAAACAAGGAAAACACCAATGTTCTCCCATAATGTGGATGGGACAAGAAAGATTGCTGTAGGGTCTGGAATCCTGCAAGGCCAGTTTAATAAAAGTGCTGTCTTCCTTTTCTATCTCTTCCAGTGCTGGGGTGGGGAGGACTGGTACCTTTATGGCACTGGACCGAATCCTGCAGCAACTAGACTCTAAAGACACTGTGGACATTTACGGAGCAGTGCATGACCTAAGACTTCACAGAGTTCACATGGTCCAGACCGAGGTAAGAGTTACAGGCTGGGGCCACAAACCTCATTCCCTACTCCCAAATGTCTAGCACTTTGACCTGACAAAGGGCAATGACTATGACTCATCAGGGAAAGAAAAAGAACTAAGTATAAATGTTTTCTAGCACTTGTATTTTGAAACAAATTCCAGTGACACTGAGGAAGATATGTGCCCTTCACCATGGTGGTTGCCCATCTCGTTTAGGTAGACAGGAAGAAAGATGGATTTTTTTTAATCTATCACATATGCTGGGGAGAAGCCCAGCAGTCGTGGGGGTCATTGTAAGATACAGTAGTGAGTAAGCACATGAACATCAGTGAGAAAAGAGAAAAAGGGACTTCCTGGTGACACAGTGGCTAAAGCTCAGTGCTATCAACCACATGATCCAGCAGACCTCTGTTGTCTCGCCCGCTGCTCCCCTCAACAATGTGTTTCAGTCGATCTGCCTGTTCTGCTCCCCACTCTGTCTCTAGTGAATCTTCTCACCCCTTGTATCTCTGGAAACATCAGAGTGGATATTGACTGAGAAGCATGAACATTCCATTTGTACAGTTCTTTGACAGTTGCAGGGTATTTTTGAACATGTTAACTCAAATTTTCAATAAACCCAAACAGGAGCAGTAAGTATTATTTTCCACTTCCAGTCTAGAAAACCAAGGTTCTGATGCTAACAGGCTTTGCACATCTATGAAGTGATCAAACTAGAACTTGAGCTCTGTTCTAGAGAAGCTAAGACCCTAAACACCCGATCCACTACCCAGAACTTCATGATCAGATCTTTATCTCCATACTCAAAGCAAGCCTGTAACTCTCTACATAATTGTCTTAAAGATCCAAGTCCATTTATCCTTGGGTTTCCGATTAACTGCAAAATCCTTTATTAAAACAAATCCCCATGCTCACCAGGGGGGAAAATAATAATGAACAACTATATACCAGAGACATTTTAAGGGTGTGGAGTGGGGGATGGGATCAAAAATGGGGGTGTGGGGCAGGGCAGGGAAGTGCGCTGGACTATGGCGATGGCACATGGGTGATTTAGTGATGGGAAGCCCATGGGGATTAAAACTGACATGGAAAAGGCACAAAATAATGTAAAAATAAACTATTGTACTATTAAAATAAATAAATAAATCCCCATGGTCAAAAGGCAAAGAATTCCACAAGCTGCCATTGTCGCATCTTACAGTCAGAGCCTATGGGGGCTGCAGGACTCGGGGCTTCCCACAAGGTTGGCAGAGCTCCCTCACCTACACAGCAGCACCAGAGGGAGCAAAAGGGAAGAACATCTTGCCTCTGGAATTACTTTTCTGGGTCCGTGACATAGTCAGCCTCAACTTTATTGTACCTTATTTGGAATAAAAAGGGGCAGGGGTCATTAAAAGTTTTCATCCTATATCAAAAAACAAGGATTTCTAAACAAAGAAGCTTTAGAGGGACTTTTCAAGGGTGCCTGTCCCTCCCTCCAGTCTGCCTGTGGGGAAATTTGCAGCCTCAGACAGAGCAATAACTTGCTAAAGAACCGTGTTTGGCCATCTCATCTGTGTCCTTTGAGATGGAAACAGAGAGCTGTTGCAGGAATAAGCATCTCAGTCCTCATGTCAGGGTCATCTGGGTTTCCCATGACCTCTGTGCCCATATTTTCACTATACTAGACTTCTAACCGTTTCCAGAATTCATGTTCACTTTCACATGATTTATGTCATTTGGAATGTCCTACTTCTTGGCTCAAATTCTTACAAATGTTGCCTTTTCTTTCTGACTTGATACTTTCCTCCCTTAGATATGAACCGTATGGCTTCTTATGATAGAAGCTTTATACATAATTCTCTCTTAAGTTTATTGCTTTATAGGTATTTGTTCATATATCTGCTCCTCTACTAACCTGCACACTGAGACCATAAAAAGGCTATTAGTAGATTCTAGAAATACTATCACGTACTATAACTTTTGGTGAAATTAAAGGGGACTGAGCCTCACAAGTTAACTAGACAGAACAAAAAATTGATCTCTTATGATCCGAGTTTCATTTATCAGACTGTCTACTTTTCATTAAAGGTAAAGTGGGACACACATTAACAATCTTAAAATTTTAATAGTGGTTCTACTAAAAGGGGCCTCTTTTTCCCTCTGGAAAGATAGGACTTTATATTTAACACAAGACAAATTAGTGACTATTTACTGGTTTCAAAGCCATTGATGGAGCACAGGTTTGAGTTTATTAATAAGGTGTAGCATAGAGGTAATAAAGCTCACAGGAAACTAACTCCAAGGTCCCAAAGTAATTTAATATCTCAGAAAATATGAAGTATGTTTCAATGGGAGGACATGGGGAAGTACCAATCTACAATTTCGTAGATTGTTTTCAAGATGGCAAAAGTGACTGCTTATACTGACGACAATACCCAAAATAGTACCTGCCTTGATTTTTCAAAGAGGCATAAAACAGGGTTTGTGAGCAAAATACAGAGAGTAGTTCTTTTAATATGAATGCAGGCTTCATATAGGAATGACTTATTTTTTAAAATGTCCTGATTTAATGGCTAGACTGGACCTACATTAGAAAGCATCAGGAGTAGGTAGCCAGGCTAGCTTCCAGTCGGGGCAATTGTTTAGTGATAACCCCTAAAAATAAACACTTGTTTACTTTTAAAGATTGTTGGTGAGGGAAGATTTAACAGTCTCAGTATCTCAAGCCTTTTAAATACTCCTAAGATCAACTGCACTGATCTCCTTACTCATGGGCCCAGGAATGTTTTTTAATATATCCATTGAACTTAGCAGGATGATGCATCTTCTATGTCCTTTCATGATCAAAGAGCATTAGCTCTAGAAGAACCCTTGGCCTCCTTATTTTACAGATGGGGAAACTGAGGTCCTAAGAAAGCTCTTGATTAAGCCTAGGCTGGCTGGAGATGGACTTGGCACCCCACATCCCTCCCCCCCCCATAGTGTTATGCTCTCCTACCTGCCTTCCCTCTCCCTGGGCCCTGAGCCACTGCTGTGCCCTAAAGGAGAGTCCATGGCCAAGCACCATGGTTATACAAACACCTGCTCCCTTATTAGAGACATCAGCTGGTGGTAAGGAAAACGACCAGTGCACAACTTTAGCTGCCTATGACTGAGCTTCTGTAATCCGTTGAGTTCTTTGTGGTCCTTTATGGTTTACCTAAACACTGACTTCTGTGTTTGTTTTACTTTGTACCGTCTGTTGTTCTCTGTGATTAGCCAATAGCTTTGAGATTCTTCCATCAGCCAAATTTGAATGCCAAGAGACCCAAGAGAGAGAAGACACTGGCCTTGCTCTCAGAACTGACAGTCGGGTGTGTCTATTACATACACCTCCTTCCCCCTCTCCCCCCACTATATCCCTAAAAATGGGAATAGACACACGGGAGATTTGGCGATGGGAAGCCCATGGGAATTACAGCTGAGATGGAAAAAGGCACAAAACGATGTAAAAATAAACATATTATTTTTTTAAAAAAGGGGACAGAACAAGAGTATGTAGTGAAATGATTGGCTCATTCAATAATGTAGTGAAATTACGATTTATCTAAAGAGACTGGTGTCATAAAAAGAGCATGGACTTTGAGTCACACACCCAAGACCAAGTCCAAGTTTCTCTGCTTTTTAGATGTGTAACCTTGGAGAAGTTACTTAACTTCTCTGGATCTCCACTTGTCTGAATGATTATCTCTGCTTCACTAAATTATCAAAATGTTCAGATGAGATAATTTGTAAAATGCACAGTACAGCCTGGCATAATTTGCTTATTTGATGGTGCTTGAGGACAGTCTGACGATGCTTTTTGCTTCTTCACAGTGTCAGTACGTGTACCTACATCAGTGCGTAAGAGACGTGCTCAGAGCAAGAAAGCTACGAAGTGAACAAGAAAACCCCTTGTTTCCAATCTATGAAAATGTGAATCCAGAGTATCACAGAGGTAGGAGCTTCCTTCACTCACAAATGCATTAATCAAGCTGTGCTCAATTTGGAAACTGTTAATCAATAAGCTACAGCTCTTCCATTGTGTGCTACCTATTTACCCCTCTACCCAGAGGCTTGAGTGGAAGGTTGAGAAGACAGTGGAAAGGAAATGTATCACCGTAGTCAAACAAGGTTCTCTGTTTTTTTGGATTCTTCTTTTGTGTGTGAAGTTTTTCCTAAATTTTCTAGAACAAATATATAATGTTTTAAACTGAAAATTCTAGTAGAAAAAAATATTATGAATTTCTATAAGGTACTGCTGTGATCAGACAGTAATGACTTGGTAAGTGAACGACCCTCCTAACTTGTCCCACTCTGGAATATCATTATGACCTCAGTTATCACACAGACCTTTGCAAACTTGATGTTACATTGCATTATGTATTACTGTCTAATAGATTACCCCAAGCTTAGCATCTTATTTCAGTGTTTATTATCTCACAGTGTCTGTTGCTCAGGAATTTGGGAGGAGCTGAGCTGGGTGGTTCTGACCCTGGATATTTTATAAAGTTGCTTGATGGGGGTGGAGGACCCATTCAGAGAGGTTGATCACTCATGTCAAGACCTCAGTTCCCGCCTACATGAAGCCTACAAATCAAATTGTTTTTTTGATGACTGTTATCTCAGAGCTGTTTTATCTCCATGTCTAAGTCATGTTCAATTAATCGCTATTTGCTTTTTTTTATTTAGTCTCTATACCATGTGCCCACCCATCTAGTGAGTATGTGAAATAGTAAATAATCTGCAAAGCACAATGTTTGAGAGCTACTATTAAAGTGAGTCCAGTTGTAAATCACATAGTGAGTCCGGTTGTTAATCACGTAATGTACCTGTACAGCAAATTAAGTATTTTGCTGTCAGATCTTTTCAAAAGCTCCAGGATTGAAGGAGCTCTGGGAGATTGTGGTCATTTCTTCTTCTCATTTTGACTTGTTCAAGACTCTTTTCTTAGATTAATATTGAGTGATTCTGAAGGAGGCCAACTGCTGTACAAATAAGAATAATCATCAGGTTTCTGAAAGTTAAAATTTAGGTCCTAGGTCTGCAGCTAATTAGCATTATCAAGCTGTGTAACCCTGAGTGAGTTACGCTGCCACTCTGTGGGCTAACTTATAAAACCAGAGGAAGTAGATTAGAATCACCTGCCTTTCCCATCCCATAATCTGTGCTTCTAATGGAATGCCTGGTCCCCCAAAATGCTGTCATCCTTAACCCTGCTGAGCTTAGTCATTTCTGCTACTCTTTCCCATCTATAACTTTCACCAACAGAATATCCAACGTTAACACCTCTTGTTCCAATCTGTAATTACACTGTGCTTCCTTTCAGATGCGGGCTATCCAAGGCATTAAGAATGTACCCGAAGATCTCCATGTGATTTAAAAAAATATCTCGCTCCATGCCTTACAGAGGTGCCAGCTATTCTGTTGATACTATGTATAATTTATTAATCTGGAGAATTTTAAAGAATTTATGTAATTTAAAGGTAACAGATATTATTGTACATAGTTGTATTTTGTAGTTCCTTCTGTAAATATGTATTTTTTCATAATGTTTAATATTAAGCTTTATATAATACTATTTTTCCACACTAAAGTGTTCTGGATTGTTCTACATAAACTTAACTCAACCTGTGTGACAGGTCTACTGGCAAAATGAGTATGTAGCCCGGCATCCCTTGGGCTGTGGCTTTTACCTGTTTAATATTTGCTGAGCAGGATAAGGCAAGGCTGGAGACAGTAAAGTTGGTCTTACTTTGCTGCATTGTTCTATGACATTTGGGATTCAAAGATGATCCAAAGGTTATTTGGACAAATATAACCAAAAAAGATGGGAAGAGGAGCTTAGCAGCACCAAAGTGGAAGTGGTTGTGCCAAACCTAGTGACTCTTAACCTTTCCTCCTGCCAGAGGTTCAAGCTGAAGTAGTTGGCTTAGAGGCCTGGTCACCTGCCCTGTCAGCCCAGGCTGCAGGGTTGAAAGTTCTGATAGAGAACAAACAGGAGTCATGAGTTCTTGTGTCAAGAACAATGCTGCACGTTCTCCTGAATGAGGGCACGATGCCAGGTGCAGCGCCCTCCACCTTGTACAGGGACAAGGGATGAGCCCATTGTGTTCATGGTGTGTATCAAGCACCTGACCACATGCTGTGCGTCTGTGGGACACGAATCTTCTTGGCTGCATTCTTGGAATAGTCAAAACTGCCAGCCGTACTTGGTTTTCCCATTTAAAGAAATTATGGTGACAGATTATACTCCAGATCAAAAGACCCAAAGTTAGCATTTTTAGTGACATGCCCATAAATCTGTCCGTAGGTTAAAGGACAAACCTATCTATAAGTTTAAAGGACAAAAACGAAAACTCAGCGGTACTTGGCATAAAATTTCCCAAAAGACTTTTTTAGTAAATCATTGAAGACTAAATATCAAGTAGTCACTCAGTTGCATCTCATAGAAAAGGCACGCTGTGTTCTACCATGTTCATCTTTGGTATTTGTGCCAGTTTTGACTATTTTTCAGAGTCAGAAAGTGGGTGTTGGCCTCATCAAGATCCAGGTCTGACAGTCTTCTTGAGGAGCATTTGAAAGGCCCCTGTATGGAATCCTTACTGCCATACCAGCTGGAAATATATGCCCTTCTCACTACAAATGTCTCTGTAATAAATTTAAGAATTGGAGGTCAGGCCTGTTGATTTCATAGCTTTATTTACCAAAAGAGAACACATCTTTTCAGGGAAGATATTTTTGCTACTTACCATAAAGTCCCATAAGGGTGATTATAGGGAAGTGGCGTCATAATTAAAAGTCATTAAGTACATCAGGTTTTTAAAACTATATTCCAACTGGAAATTTTCTACAGGGTTATTTGGCGTTTAAAAGCAGGAAAAAAAAAATTGATCAGTGCGAATGTGAAGAGTATTGTGAGCATGGCAAGCTTTCAGTTTCAGAGTTCTCAGTGTCCTTGTGAATTGGCAGTGCTAGGTTTTGACTGTTTTATAGAACTAGGTGGATCTTTTAAAAAGGAGAAATATGTATGTGTGACAGACATACCAGAAAATGTAGGTCAGTGGCTTTTGAGGTATAGGAGCTATTAGGAATAAATTTCCGTGTATTAAAAAGAAAAAGCAAAAATAAAAATGAAAACAATTTCAGACTCACATGTCTCGATGCAAAGCACGTTCAGACATGGGAAAATAAAGGTATTTTGGGCTTTTCATCATTCAGAAGACTTTTAGTAAGTGCCTAAAACCTGCTTGGTTACCCTCCAGACTACACAATGCTCCTCACACAAAGAGAATGCATCATGACATTTGAGTCAAGGTTATGGTGGCGATTTTCAATTAAGCTTGAAAGAGGGCGTTGGCAAAGCAGTGAGATAAGTGAGCCTTACAGCCGTCCAAGGCTATGTTGACAAGTGCTCAAAGTAAGCAACCCTTAAATCTAGGAAGCGTAAACAATCAGTTGCACAAAACGAGAATTAAAACCATAGGGAAAAAACCTACAGGGCTGTAATCTTAAGTAACTCTCATAGCTTAGTGTATTTGGGGTGGAATAAGTTATGAAAATGGACATGACAAGGGGAAACTGTTTGTTCTTTTGGTCTTATCCAGGAAATATTTATTCCTACCCTCCACCTGTCTAATTTTGAATCTCCTTAGCAACAAATATTTCACTAGCTTCTCTTCCCACCGTCACAGCCTAAATACATTATCTAGTTGATCTGTTTATTGAATTTAGGAGGTAAAAAAGGTTTCCTTGACATTCAGCTCAGTTGGATGCATTTTAATTTAATCCCATCATGTGCTCTGGCTTGGTAGACACCCCATTTCTTATCTTGGTGGGCTTCCTGTCTGTGCACCTGTGTGGGACTCTTTAATCATTAAGACTTCAAAGTACTTTTGAGCTATCCAATCTGGAGAAGAGTCCTGTCTTGCATCTTAATAATTATTTATCTGAGCACTTTATAATTAACTCTTTTAATCTCTACTCATTAAATCAATTTCATATTATCATTCTGTTGCTCTATGGATGGCAGCCAATTTTTCAGTTCTTGAACGAGATTTTTTTAAAGATTTTAAAGCTTGCACTTACCTACTCTAAGAAGTTCACCTCCCCATTACCTTTCTGGGTCTCTTCTTCTCTTACTTGTCCCCTTCTCCCTTATGAATATGTTTGCTTTTCAGCTGAATTTTATTTTCTGTTCATCTTATCTCCTTATACCCATTGTCTGCCTACTGGTATTTCACAACTATGGTTTCATTTGTAAGCAGTAAAATGGTCATAGCACACAGACATTTTGAGGACAGTCTTTAATTAATCTTGCTATTACCTCTTGAAAAAAAGCCCAAAATGACATGTGGAATAATATGAAACCACTAAACAGATGCCCAACAATACAAAAATAGACCTTCTATGTTATGCTTAATACTGATTCTCTAGCCTTAATGTCTCAGGATCCTGCTTTTTATATTCACTAAACACTCCTTAACTTTTGTAATAAAATGATCGGTCATATACTAAATTCTCACTCATTAACTTTCTGGATCGTTGAGGCTTGATGACATCATCAACCTGCTGGATTGTCAAATCTGTGTAAGAGGAGTGGGAGTCTCTGGGACCCAACTGTGGAATGAGCTAGAATTAGTTCCCCCACCTGAATCAGCCCAAACTTGGTGAGGTAGTAGCTCTATGCTCCATTCCTGTGAGGAAATGAAAGCAATTGATTGGCTAAGAAAAAGTGGTAAGAAGCACCACCTAGTCCTTCCCCAGATGGCTGTGAGCAAGCCCGCAATCTTGCCTCATTATTGAAGACAGTCTTTGCCAAATGCCCTGTGAAGCTTCTGAGTATTTTTTACCCAAGATTTTGAGTCACATCAAGTATTCAAAGAATGTTTCTCATAGAAGAAAAACCTGTTAAGCCCTGACTACAGAAAGTAAGTAAAGTGATACAAAAAGGGAAAATACTTGAACCAAGAGACATCAGCAGGAAAAGAAAACATCACCCATTTGTGTCCAGGCTTTTTTAAAAATGTCTTATATGTCTAATAAGACATATTATCTCGTGGGGGTCTGCGTTGACACAGTGGCAGATGATGACGCTGATTATTGAACTTAGTCATTAGTTTTATGAATTCACCAGGTGTTTGTATATACTGAGTTTGGAATTCTGAGCACACTGCCTTAGATTCTTGGAGTGGATGATGCCTTTGAAATGTTTGGCCATTTTACTTAAAATGCAGGGTAACATTTGATGCAGCCATGATAATAGCAAAAATCTGTTCTGTGCTAAAAATGTTTCTAGCAATGGAAATATTTCTGACTAAAAGAATATTCTTATAGGGAGGCTCCCTAGGAATAAATGTATGCAACAAAAGAAGGCATTTTATTTTTTTAAAGGTTGTCTATATAGATACATTCATGAAATAAGGAAACTGTTGGTGAAAGCCCCAAAATAGAGGTTTATGTAATGAAATAAGAGATCTATTAACAGATTTACCAAAGATTATATTTATAACCTACATGCCAATGTACATGATCTTATATAAGATACCAAAATAAGTTGCTCAAAACTGTGAATAATGCCAGACAAATGTAATGTGTCCCTTCCAGAATTTTCACAGGAAAGGTTAGTTATGGCTATTTTCTGCCTTAAGCAATTTCTCTTAAGAAACACTATCTTCACCTAACAGCAAGTTTTCTGTTATATTTGAGATGTTGCATTTTAAATGCTGAGTGAGTAGATAAATATGCCAGTAAAGAAGGAGCCTGTGAAGCTGTGGCATTAGGGCTTGGAGCAGGCTTGGCCAGTGTTCCACCTGCAAGCTAGTGGGACAGTTTGCAGCAACGTTCATGGCATTTCCTAATTTCGACCACCCTGATGATCTGGTGCAACAGTGTTCTCACCTGAAGACTCTTGATCTCTGGTCTGCCCGGCAGCACTCGTCAGGCATATAAATTCTGCAAGGACAAAGGCCAAATCTTTTCTCTTCTACCCATCTTGTAACAATTAACATACAGCACATATATTCAACATATGCATTTTAAGTGGAATTGCTCCTGGTCCAATACGTGAGTGTTAGGATAGTCAGTGTCTCAATACTATGGAGGCTCACCTGGCTATTCCTTGATTTGTGTGAAATTTAAATAAATGATGCAACTATAGCCAGCAACTGAATTTATTTTGTTCTATAATAGAGCACTTTTATATTTTTAACATCATGGACTCTTTCTCTGCAAATCTGGTTATTTAAAACGGCAGTAGATGATTGTAGTTTTTCATACCATAGTACCTACCCGTGGTATTTCTAACCAACTCTATTTGAACAAAGAACTTTATTAGTCTTTCTATTTAAATAATGTATTGCTTAATATATTTCCATATTTGTGATCATGGCAAAAATACTATATAGTCTCTATCTTATACACCTTCTCAACATAGGAATAAAACTGTTTGTTGAAGCAAAGTGTCCTGTCTTCAATTCACCTGTTTCTCATTTATCAATTTTTGTACTCCTGCTGAGGAGAAAGGTCAGAAGTGACTGTTTTTAAATGAGAAAAATCTTCCAGGCCATTAGCATGAAGATCATGGTGGTTTTAACCTTTATTCCTGTGAGAGCAGAGCTGATTACCTTGAGTATT